AAGTGATAATATAAATCTCATATAATTATCTGTTGAATTGATATCTTATCTTATCAATCCTGATAAGTTTGCATCTCTAAATGTCAAACAACTAAACTCATGATATTTTAGATTTTTAAGATTAGGTTGACATTTTTAGGCTTGCAAAGTGGAACATTGGGCATACATTTTTATTTAATTTTAATCTTATAAATTAACAAATAATATACTAACTGAATATTCTTTTGAGGGAGAATTATTTTCGCATTTCTACTTTGAGAAATACACGTGTTTCATACTTAACATTGCACTACGATATACGCACAAAAATATGAAATGAAATAAATATTGGTGATGAAGTTCTCAGAGAATGCTTTAAGTTGGCTTAACAATTCAGAATAAACATTTGATAAGAAGTAAACATTTTTTATCCTGGGAACCTTTAGACTTTTAAGAAAAACATTTTTCTCCAACTTCTATTATTATAATAGAGATCTCAAATTACAAATCACCAGTTCGAAAAGTAGTTAGAAAATGACCTCAAAGTTTTTCTTCTACAAACAACAACAAACAAATAATTTCCGAAAATGAGAGTTGTTATATAGATATACTAGTTGGCCCGTGCGAATAATTCTAAAAAAATTTTGTTTAGGGAAGAAATAGAAAAACAATATGGAAATAATTCCTATGTATTATGTGAGGAAGGAATTAATATTTTTCCTTGGTGGCTTACAATATTCCATTTAACATAATAGACCTAAATATTTGTACGAATTGCTTTGCTACCTTTTTTTAAACGCTGACTGGAAAAATAATAAAATTAATAAAACCAAATAATGCCCCGATCATGGGATTTTCTTAATTCTTAAAAAAATAAAATGTAAGAACAAACAAATACCTTAAAGAAATAATAAAGTCAATTTATCAGCCTGAAAACAAAGTGTAGTAGACTATTTTACTCCTAAATGCAATATCTTTAAACAGGAAGACTTTATTGAGTACACCAAAACTAATGGACTGTATCTTTGTTAATAATTGTCCGATTTTTACGATTTGTTTTTGTTTTGTAGGTAATTAGTAATCTTTCTAATTATCATGAGTAAAATAAAAAAATGCATACTTTTTGAGTTATTCGCAAATAAAGTTTCTTTTTCTCCATAACTTCTTTTCCAGAAATTTCGGGGAGGGGGATGGGATTATTTTTCACATGTGAAGGAGAAGAATATCTTTAAAATGAGTGGTCAATCATTGGATTGGATGAAGAATTGATGAAGTAATGGCGTACCGACCAAAAAAAAAAAAAAAAACCTTTTACAAATAAAATATAGGATTCTTAATTAGGAGTATCTATGATTCAATTTTTCTATGCTTTGTTCTATTATTAGTTTGTTTTTATTTGATACTTACTCTGTAAAGAACCATGTTGCCTTCTGGGCTTTTCATATTGTACTCAGAACAAATATTTATATTCTTTTCAATCAATAAATAAATTTATATGGAACTCTCAGAATAATGCAGTCTCTCCTTTTACTTTTTTCTTTTATCTATTTCTAGATCTCAAAGAGATTGAGTATCTTTGGTTAACTGTTAGTGCACTGTACTGTAGTGAGTAGGAAGATAGGCAATTCATTGAACATTTTCTTTTCATCTATTACGACTATTCTTCATTGCAATCAGTTTCTTATAGAATTCAATGCTTAGTATTATCTTTTCTAACATCAAACGTATTCAATCCTACCAGTCCAAAGTCCTCCGTACAATAGTCGATGCTCCCTTTTATGTCTCTAATAAAACCCTGCACAATGACCTTAATATTCCATTTATTCTTGATCTTATCCCAGACAAATTCTCCAAATTTCATCAGAACCTTACCCATCACCCTAATCCCGTAGCACAATCCCTATCTAGCACCACTCATCCCTACAATCCTCCTCGCAGGCTGAAACGGCAGTGGCCCCGTGACCTTTTGTAACATGTATATACTGGAGTTCTGGCAATGGCCAGATTCTCCACTCAAGTCATGAGTGTCCGTGGTTGTAGCGCCCTTACTCAATCTCAGCTGGCTTTCAATGCCAGTGAAATGGTTGAGGAAGAAGCGCAGGGATCTCCTAAAACCTTGCTTTCCCTCCACGTGTGGGGGGATAAGTATGGTTCGGAGTTCCTATGGCCGACTGTAAATAGTGTAATAGGTATGCCTGCGTCTAAGATGTTTATTTTCATTACTTTTTTTTTTTTTTTTCTCACTATGATATTTTATTTTGTTCTTTTGTAGCTTTATATTATTTGAAGTTAGCTTATTTTTTTTATTTTTTTATTTTTTTTTTAATTTGTAAATATGGTGTGAATGTGCTCTCAGAACTATATTATAAATGTCCTTTATTGAGACAGATTGTAATATTTATCAATAAACCATATTATTAATCTGTTACGGAGTATTATCTACTTCGATACTGGTTTAAATTCTGAATAAATATGAATCATATAATATATAAGAAAGAAAATAATAAATGAAATATAAACAAGAGTGAACAAAAAATCTTTGAACGTAAAATATAAGACTATTTGCCAAAGAAAATACAATTAAATAATTTAAAAACACAAGTTAATGAATTTTTTTTTGCTGGTCAATTATTATTTTGCATAAACCGTTCTAGCCGTTATTAGACGTAAAAAAAACTTTTAATCCGTACTTTCCAGGAAGATCTAGCATTATTAAAAATTAAATTTCATGGAAATGTTAAATGATAATTAAATAATTTTTTATAATTTATTTTTAAAGATCAAGATTTTTAAAAAAAGGAAACAATAATTATTCAAAAGAACGCTCTAAGGAGATAGTATAGAATGAAAATACAGACAGAGGAAACAATAAAAATCAGATTGGAATGGAAATAACCATATTTCTTTGTTAGAGGCGTGGCTTGTGATCAGAATCTACTATTAAAAATGAGTGCTTGGGTTGTGGTATCAGGTGAAACCCATTCCAGTATGAGGAACAACAGTTATCCAGCAAACCCGGAACCTTCCAAGTCTTGGCTGGAGGAACTCTCTTAGGTATTAGTATTAATATTAAATCAAATATTCTACGTGCTAATATATTAATAATAAATATAAATTATTTGTAGAAGAGCAATAATTACAATAATATTATCCAGTAAATAGATGTAGACGATTCTTGTTTTCTTACCAAAGAATTGAATATTTTTGGCCTTTGGAATTATACGACTTTTAGTTTTGTTTTAAAATAAATAAAACATAGCAATATTAATTAAAGAAATTACAACCTCACCAGATAATAAGTTAGATATAAAGGATTATATGGAAAAGAAATAATAAAATAGAGAATAATAGTTGTAGGAAGGAAGCATCCGAGACTACGAGCCAATGACACATTTATTTAACGGACGGTAAAGTTACTGATAGTATTAGACAATAGCCGTTATCGGACAGGACTAGAATCCCCTACTCTTGCATTGAAAGCACATAAAGACAAAATTGTTTGAAAATTTTAATATTGTATTTAATTTCGGATAATAATGTTTTATATAATCATGGGCATAACCAAGGGAAAAGTGTGTATTTTATATTTTTTATTAGTTATTCGCTAATAAAGTTTGTTTTCATTCATAACTTGTTTGCCTGAATTGCCTGGGGTGATTGGACTATTTTGACCGCCTGAAGGAGAAGGAAGCCTTCGTAATTGGTGGCTCAATCTTAGATTTAGTGAAGAATTAACGATGATATGGCTTTATGATCAAAAACACTATCGATAAATAATATAAACTCCTCCTCTCTCGACCATAGAGGCCTCAAGTCGACGAAATGAGACATGTATTCAATGACAATACTACAATTATCATAAGGTAGTGTGGATGCGAACCCCATGCCTTGCGTCATCTCGAAAATAGTATGTTTTGGGCTTAAAAACGCAGAATCCGATAGTTCCGAAGGATTCACCATAACCTTTTTTTCAGCTTCTTTTCGTGGAATTATTGTGTATAGTTAAATTTGAAGAACTTGGCGTAGATTTTCGGCAAGTTTTATTAAAATCTTTATAGCCGTTAAGGCTATAAGGTCTTTTCTAACAGTCTTTTCTAAACTAAAATCTACAGATTTTACGCCATTTTAAAACGAAAGGTTGAGTGGTGTCGAATTACGAGAATTATTCTCGGGTGGCCTCTGATATCGATACCAAATCCCAAACAATCGTATCTTACAATCAGTCTCGAACAGGGGTACCCATACCCTCCCAAGGTCGATGGGCCATGAACTATCCCTCCCATCTCCGAAAATTGTATTTCTCTCATATTCTTAAAAACATAGCAAGCGAAAGTAGGATTAAACAAAGAGTAGTTGGATTCAATTAAACTTGCTATGATCTGTCTCATGTTTTGTTACTAGCTCTCTGTTTTGAAACGTTTCAATCCGGAAATTCATAGCTCCCTCGAAATGTGCCCCTCTCAAAAATTCAAAACTCAAATCGAAATTCGCCATCTGAAAAATTTTAAAGGGATTTTACTTGCGATTTTGTTTTTATTTTATTTATTATATATTTATTTCTTAGTCGATTACAAAGTTTAATTAATGAAAAAAAAAAAAAAACGAAAACATTTACTTATTTAGTTATAAATGCACTATATACATGGGAGGAGAACCTGTGACCTCCATGGCCTACAAACGTTTTTGAACGATATTTATTAATCCAGTAATAAAATTAATTAATATTCAATTATTCAAGGTTACGAAAATTTGAAAATTAATAGAATACGTTGATTATATGTAAGCGGGTGTATGTATTTGGTGATAAACATAAACAGTTACACATAAGAAATTGTTGCTGGCTTCATTAGCGCTGCCTAACCTTACTGCGGCATCTAATGATAAAAAGGTTATCCTCCTGTGCACTATAATATATAAATTACGCAGCACTATTCCTAAGATATATTTCTCTATTCGCAAGATGCCTACAAAATACATGACTCTAAATTCAATCTTATTATTGTAGATTATTGTTTGTTTTCTCAAGGAAGACTGTCGTTAAGAGATAAAGAGTATGAAGGGCTGGTGAGAGGCTGAGGCTCCAGATAGGAGAAGATGATGGTAGGAAGAGGCGACCATATGATTAGAGCATGCCGACTTTGTCCAGCGTTCAAATTCCCTGGCCAACCTGACAACCTGTTGCCTCCTCCTTCCTCCAGCTCTTCCCATCTCTCTCTCCTCTGTCTCATCTTTGTTATTAAGAGATCCTCAGCTCGAACATAGAACACACCCTTTTAGTATACTAGAATAATGTAGTATTGTACCAACATTAATATACAAGCCACATTATTTTTTTTTTGGCTTTACATAATGATGAGAAATAATTGAAGACGTAAATGGATAAAGTAGGTATGTAACAAAAAGAGTATTCTGAGATATTTAACTTCATAGTCGTCTTTGATGTACATGTTTTGGAAGTTCTCCTTTTTTAATTTAAGAATTTTTAAATATAAAAATAATATAATTAAAAACAAAAAACTATATCGAACAATATCAATGTCGGCCTTTGATATCGATATTAGAATAATATCGAATTAAAAATATCGGTATCACCAATATGGAATGGTATCTATATCAAAATGAAAATATCGAGAAACTTAATATATCGTCGGTTTAATAAAAAATATTATTAAGTGACTTTTGATGATAGACTTAGATCATTTAGAACATTGATGAATTGTCTATTTGTGAAATCAGAAACTCGTGCGCTAAACGTGAACAACGGTGCCATGTCCCTTGTTGACCTGCCCTGTGTGACGTAGCTCAATGTGTGACTCAGTTGATAATAGTCAATGAAACCAAAGCGAAATTATACTTTGAGCAATACTAAGAGGACTTAGAGGAAAGTTCTGTCTATAATGAAGTTCTTTATTCATATTTGCCTAGTTTTTTGGTCATGTGCTGTATGTCGATTCGCCCATCAAATCATTTCCTCTTCTTACCTCTTATTTAGAAAAAATTTAAAGTTTATTTCTTGCTAACTTACCAATCATTTGCAACCCCAAACATGGCATCAATCTTACGACAGGATAATATTATTATGACCTTCGACTCCTGATGGAGCAAGGGGCATTTACAAGTGTGAAATGTTCCATTCCGCTCTTTTTGCAGCAATCATTTTTGCTTCTGACCTAGTCTTGCCATTTAGATGAGGTAATTTAGAACAGATCTATACCATCTTTCTCTAGGTCTTCCTCTTCTTCTTATTTTTTGCAAAGCTTCTTTTTCGACACTATTTGTTTTACTCGTAGAGATAGTAAACGCATCAATTTCCTTCCAATTCCATATTGAGTAAAATTGAACAAACACCCCATGCTTTTTTGATTCGGTTTTTATAAGATAATGCAATGGGCAATATACATGATAATATATATAATAGGATAATAACAGCCTTTTTAGGTTGAAAAAATAGATTTATCATGTGGTCTCAGGACGAAGCCAATTTTCACAGATTAGAATATATCACTATCAAACAATGAATTCCTTCCTAAAAACGAACCGGAGCAATGCTTTAATTCGGAGAATAGTGTCTCTGTTTGAATTTTCTACATAACTAAACAATTTTAGAATCATTTTCGTTCTAAAATCAAATGGGATTATTCAAATTTCTATTAAAAATCTATGATACATAACGGCTCTAAATTCACCTATTGTACACACTCTCGATCCACATTCCTATAAATTGCATATTGTTGTGTTCCTTGCAAATAATAATAAAAATAAACAATATACTCTGAAAAAAAGTGGCCGCACTGTCCTTAAATGGCGCCCATACATGGACGATTAACGAATTTGAGTTAGTTGTTGGGTCATCGAGAGTCAGAATTGGGCTTAATTTCACAATAATGGGGCCATTTATTAAAGCTGGATAGTATGAAAATGGTTTCAGTTATATTAGGGTCATGTCTAGTCGGCGAAATTCGAAGAGCTATAAACATTCCTCAACGTCGTCCTTCTATATTGGGGAATTCACCTGCAAAACCTGAGAGACCTATTTTAGAATCAATAACGGCTCTAAATTGGGTTGCTATGTTTTAATGGTGGAAGTGGTGAGGTGGATGTGTTTCCAGGGCTGGCTGGGCTGCCTATCAAGATTGAAAAACGGGTTGGACACAGCCTAGAGGCTTTGTATTTATATCTGATTGGTCGCTTTTCTCTAAGATTTAATCAAAATACCGGGAAACGACCGATTTTATTGGAATGAACCTCATCCATTTTGCAAGAAATATTATGGATATTTGTAAAGAAATACATCTAGTTTTAATTATAATTGCAGTACCGTTTTAAAGAACTCGTGTATAAGAGTATTTATAATATATTATTAATAATGGAAAAAAAAAATCACAAAACATTCATCTACTATCTCACTTTCAATAGAAATTTTTTTAATTTTATTTTTTTATTATTTTATTGAAATTTACAACTGTGAACAAATATACAACAAGCAAATTTGATATAGGAATATATTACATGAAGGGACTTGTGAAGAAGCTACCCATTGGTAACACTTCAAAGATATATTAATTTAGGTGGTCCCTTGGCCATCTTCTTTTCAGACGCCTCGGAGGGTTGTCAGAAATTGTGTTAGATGAAAGGTTACGAGCTAGAGGATTGGGGTGACCAAAGAGTTTGGAATGAAAAGAGGTATATCTAGTTCGGGCCAAGTCTTCCGCAAGAGAATTTGAGGTGTTTATGGATAATTTTAGTTATTACATAATAAGGAGCATTTAGGATTTTACGGAGAATTTTGGTTTGTAAGGATTGGATACGGGAAGAATTTGATGTTTTTGTAGAGCTTCAAAGCTCAATAGCGTATGTCCAAATGGGCCTGATGATGGTAGTGTAAATGAGTTTTTTGTAGAATACTGGAAGGTTAGAGCGTTTGTCAAGTAAGTATTCAATAGTTCCTTCTACGACCTTGTATATTAGATATTAATGTTACTAAAATCTTTAGTTTCTTTTTTTTTATTGAATAATAATACAATCCGCCACTTTTTGAGGGCTATAAGTGTTTAGGCTAAAATTGTTCATTCATATAATATATATACAAATAATAGAGGAATGACTATAAATAATAATAAAAAAAAATAATAAAAATAAAATAAATCTTCTACACCACATTGACCTATCTACAATATTTACATTCATCCAGGAAACCCCGAGCCAAGCATTGTCGTTCACATGATATACCTACATGATATTAAAACATTTAATTTTTTATTGAAATAAGAAGTTTAATCCGCAAAAATTATAAAATTTGTGAAATAGGTGCTATTAAGTACAATTTCCTGTTAATCGATTTTGACGAAAAATCTCCTGAAACATTATAGGTGTATACCTATAGTAAATACCTGATTTCAGATTAGTACGACTTTGACAGCTTTTGAGTTAGACTGTTCAAATACACACATGCCTTTCATATTTGATATATGGGAGTAGTTGAAAGTAAAATTAAAAATAAAGGTGACTAATTAAATTTAATTGACAAAAGCAGTCTAATAAAATCTTCCTAACTGCGCTGAAGTCAACTATTCAAATAACAAATAAACATCCAATTTAAAAGAAAAATTCTAAGAATTTAATCAATAATTAAAGCTTAAAAGATATAAAAAGATTACAGCTGATAATAAATGGATAAGATTACACCATGATAAGAATAGGAATGAAGTAGAGGTATCTAAAGACAAGAAACAATAATAAGGTATTATTTTATATTGGAATTACAGCACCACATTGTTGTGTTCAAACGAACGAAAAATAAACATAACAAGATTTATATATATTTTTAATGAATGCTATTTAAGTTGACTCTAACATATGAAACAAAAACAAATAAGCAAAAAAAAAAAAAAAAAATCGAAAGAGTAATACATATCATTGAACAGTCTTAAAGCTAGAAAATAATACTCAAATATTAATACCGCTAGTAATAATTTACTATTAATAAATTAATATTGAATTAAACAGTAATTAATGAAATAGTATTACGTAGATAAGTTAACAGAAATTCAATTTCAGTAAATTAAAAGTATTATTGTAAACCTACTCACGTAATCAATACCGCAGAATTACTGTATCATACCTGAAAAAGAAAAACAGAAAATATATTAAACCATATTTAGTGAGGAGATTTTATATTTTAATAGGTTATCGAGGAGTTTACAATTAAAACTTTTTTGTGTAGTGTTAAGAATATAATATACCATTATTAATATTAAAATTCAAAAAATAAAGTTCAACAAAACCTGCAAATTTAAATTGTTTAATAGTCCTCTGGTGAAATGAAAGTCGTTTAGCCGAATTAAAATAATTTCATGTTTAATTTTCCCCAATTGTTAAAAAATAAAATTTTCTTTTACACAAAAACTTCAGAAAGCAATAAGTTCCCTTCGGTCATAGAAATGGCATGTAATCTTAGCATTAATCTTATATGGTATACAAATATTTATATTTCTTCCATCCCATTTCTAATCGTCAGAACTAAACTGTCCATCAGTTTCAACCATTTAAAATGTCTGAGGTCAGAGGATATCTTTTGGTTGTTTGCAGCCCTCGAGTAATGAAATGAAACAAAAATATTTAGAATTCTCAGATCTAAAATTAGCAGTGGAGCCAGAGAGGCCTAGATCACTAAAAAAAAAAAAAAAAATCAAGAAATGAGAAAAACCAATCTAAAGGATGATTTAAATTGTGGAAGATCGAGAGAGAGGGGATTCTCATACTGATAAATAAGATGAATAAAAGCGCTAGAATCCCTGAACATGAAGAAGAAGCGGGCAGAGTTCTCACCTAAAATAAAAACATTGAAGATTTTTACCATTCTAAGATAATGGAAGGTCTAAATAGAGATTGCTAGCCGTTAATTAATATTGTAAATTTAAAATAAAAAATGGATTTAATCCTTAAATCTGCACTTGTTGAATTCAGTAGTTTTATTTAACAAATTAATAGATAGCGAAGCGAGTAATAGATTCGAAAATGTAGAAATTACGGTTCTGTAAATTTTTAGCAGCGATTATAGATTTTGGAAAATGTAGTTCCCATCAAACCCTATTTCCCATTCCAAATATGAACCCTAGTCCTCATGATCAGTTCTAGTAAGCGGATTTAGAGGGTTCAAATTAAGGTCAATCAGAGCTTTTTTTAACATGTATGATAGATAGACTTTATGTTGGCTTTACTATTGGTC